CCAATATTTTAAGTCGAGGCTTGGGTTTTCTCTTCAGCCCTTTTAGCTTGGGGAATGCTAATCATGCGTTCTAACTCTAGGTTGCACATTTCATTATACTACTTTGTTTCCTCAAGTTGTCCTTGGAAAATTTCTGTTCAGCTCTTTTACTTCATCATTACTTGCATTTGCTTTAGCTACTCTATACTCTATAACCTGAGAAGCTGGGTTATATGAAGAAAAACATGGCATCAGGATTGGAGGGAGACTCATTAACAACCTGTGATATGCAGATGATACAGCCTGGCTTGCTGAAAGTGAAGAGGACTTAAAACATCTAATGATGAAGATCAAAGAGCACAGCCTTCGGTATGGATGTATTACATTTCAATGTAAAGAAAACAAAAATCTTCACCACTGGACCAATAAACAACATTCTTATCAACGGAGAAAAATTTGAAGTTGTCAAAGACTTCATTCTTCTTGGATCAACTACCAATACTCACGGAAGCAACAGTCAAGAAATCAAATGACGTATTGCATTAGGCAAATCTGCTGTACAAGACCTTTTTAAAGTGCTGAAGCGCAAAGATGTCAGCTTGAGGACTAAGGTGTGCCTGACCCAAACCATGGTGTTTTCAGTAACCTCATATGCATGAGAAAACTGGACAGTAAAGTAAGGAAGACGAAGAATTGATGCATTTGAGTTATCGTGTTGGAGGAGAATATTGAAAATGCCATGGGCTGCCAAAAGAACCAACAGATCTGTTTTGGAAGAAGTGCAGCCAGAGTGCACCTTGGAGGTCAAGATGGCCAAACTTCGTCTCTCATACTTTGAACATAATGTCAGGATGGACCAGTCACTGGAGAAGGAGATCATGTTTGGTAAGGTGGAGGGTCAGAGAAAAAGAGGAAGACCCCCACCGAGATGGACTGGCCAAATGGCAGCACAGATGGACTCATGTGTGGCCACAGTAGTGAGGTTGGCCCAGGATTGGGCAGTGTTTCATTCTGCTGTGCATAAGGTCGTTATGAGTGGGTACTGACTCAATGGCACCTAACAACAACAACATACTCAAGAGCAAGTTTCACTTTTTTTCTGACATCACTTTAGTCATTTCTTTCATTCTTGTCTTTTTAATGACCTTTTGCTTTTTTCATATATGATGATCTTGATGTCATCTAACAACTTCTTTGATCTTTGATTATTAGTGTCAAATCTGTTCTTGAAATGATTTCTGAACCAGGAGGGATATATATTCAAGGTATTTTGGCTCTTATAAACTTGTTTTTAAAAATTTCATTTCCAGCCAGAACTTGCATATGAGCAATTAAGTCAAAATAGCAAAAAAGATGAAAACTACTTAAGTGTCTATCAGTGGAAGAATAGATAAATTGTGGTATATACTTATGGATTACTATACAATGATAAAGAATAAGGACTTTTCCCCATGAAACAGCTCAAAGCATGGATGCATTTAGAGGACATTATGCTGAGTGAAGTAAGTCAATCACAAAATGACAACTATTGTATGAAAAAAACCAGCATCAAAAAAAGAAAGAAAGAAAAAGCTCAAAGAAAGATTTTTGTTTTCTTTCATTCCCTGATCAACTGGCATTTGTGAATGAAAGTGGGCCCAGGTGGCTAACTAGCTGTATTTTATAAACATACTGATGATTCTAATTTGGCACACATACCTGTGAGTGGAATTGATTAGTCACAGGATACATATATCTTTAATTTTACTACATAATGTCAAATTATAAGTGACTTATTAATTTTTGCATCTTCCAGAAGCATTTGCCTTCTGGTGACTTCACATCCTTTTCAATTTAATCCACACTTCCTTATATAAAAAAAGGTAAGCAGTTTATACTTTATTAGCCATTCTGTTTCCTTCTTCTGTAAAATGCAGTTTTTGTTTTTTTTTTGGTCCTTTTTGTCTACTGTTTTTGTTTTAACTGATTAGTAGCTTAAAAAATACACTGTTATATATGTTAAGTCATAGTCTCTCTTAATTTTGACATGTAATCAGGGAGACCCATCCCTAAAGGACGTCCAGCTTGGTAAAATATTGGGTCAGTGAAAACGAGGAAGACCCTCCACTGAGATGGCTTGACACAGTGGCAGCAACAATGGGCTCCAATGTAACAAGTGCGAGGATGCCCAGAACCAGGCAGTGTTTCATTCTGTTGTACGTAGGGTCACTGTGAGTTAAAACTGACTTGATGGCACCTAACAGCAGCAACATGATGGCTCTCCAAAATTCCACCTCCTTGTGGTGACCTTTTATAGGGCACAGGAACAAAAGAATCTCTTCCCATGCATCACATATCCATGCCAGGACTATGGAAAGTTGGAAGGAGTGTGCCCAGGCAAGTTCCTGCAAGGGCCAGCTGGGGGAAGTGATTTAAAACACACTTTTAAATAGAGTCTGCTGCTAGCTGTGGAAGTTCAGCTGTCAGAGGTGCATGAGGTACTCAAGAAAAATTGGCACTTAACCTCGGCACACAATGGAATTTAGCTGTGCCTGGCTGGAGTTGTTCACAGGTCCAAAGCCTTCTGGTTTTATGCTCGACCGCATGTTGCAGTTATTGTCTCTTAATTTGTGGTTTATTTCACTTTCATCATAAGTTGAACAGTTCTCAATTTTTATCTAGTCAAATCTATCAACTTGACATTTTACATCATACCAAAATCTTTCTCTGACCTGAGGTCAAAAAGGTTATTCTCTTATATTGTCTTCTGAAAGTTCTAGTTTTGCCTTTCACATTTAAGTATTCAATTCATGTGGAATTCATTTTGTTAGTGGTGTGAAGTAGGGCTTAAGTTTCATTTCTTCTTTCATGTACAAAAGAGCCCTAGTGACATGGAGGTTGGAATCAGCTGCTAACCAAAATGGCAGTGGTTGGAAATGAGCTATACAGGAGAAAGTTTTGGCAGTTCTATCTGTCCTGTTGTCCTTGTTGTTGTGATGTGGCATCAAGTCAGTTCCAACTCACAGTGACTTTATGCACAACAAAACGAAACACTGCCCGGTCCTGCACCAACTTTACAACCGTTGTCATGTTAGAACCTATTGCTGCTGCCACTGTGCCAATCCATCTCATTGGAGTCTCCCTCTTTTTTGCTGACCCTCCACTTCACCATGCATGACATTCTTCTCTAGGGACTGGTCCCTTCTAATAATATGTCCTAAGTGTGAGAGACGAAGTCAGACCATTCTGGCTTCTAAGGAACTTTCTAGTTGTACCTCCTCCAACACAGGTTTGTTCTTCTGGAAGTCCATGACACGTTTAATATTCGTCTCCAACACTGTAACTCAAATGTATATGGTCTTCCTTATTCATTGTCCAACTTTCACAATATGAGGCTATCGAAAATAGCACGGCTTCAGTCAGGTGCACCTTAATCCTCCAATTGACCTCTTTGCTCTTGAACACTTTAAAGAGGTTTTGTGCAGATTTGCCTAATGCATTAATGTTGATGGTTGATCCAAGAAAAATTAAGTCTTTGACAACTTTGATCTTGCCTCCATTTATCATATTATGTCTGAATTGGCTTGATTAGGCAATGTTTTTCTTGTGTACAATTATTCCAGTAACATTTATCCCAGGTCTTTCCCCTACTGATTTGCCATCCCACATTTATAATAAAGGAAGAGTTCCTATTTGTATGGGTCTGCTTCTGGGCTCCCAGTTTTGTTCCAATGGTCTATCTGTTTATCCCCATACCAGCACAGCACTGCTTTAATTCTAGTTCTTAATTAGGCAACTCCTCCTACTTTGTTCTTCAGGAGTGTCTTTGCTGTTAGTAATTTTGTTACTTCATATACATTTAAAAATCACTTTGTCAAGTTCCAAAGAATCAAAATATTAACTTGTACTGAGTCTTTGAATTTGGCAATTGGCATTTTTACCATGTTGTGTTCTTATTTAGAAACATGAAATATTCTTCCACTTACTAAAATAAAACCACCACCAACCAATTGCTGTTGAGCTTATTTAAACTCACTAAGATTCCACGTTAGAGAACTGTGCTACAGAGGTTTCCAATGGCTGAATGTTTGGAATATTGCCAGGCCTTTCTTCTGAGGTGCCTTAAGATGGGCTCAAACCTTCAACCTTTAGTTAGCAGCTCTGCACATTCACTCTTTGCACCAGTCAGTGACTCTTCCACTTTAGACTTGGGGAGTCCTGGTGTGGTGCTTTAGAGTAAACACTGGACTACTAACCATAAGGTCCATGGTTCAAACCCATAATTGGCTCCCCAGACACCCTATATGGGGTCAATGTAAGTCAGAACTGATGCAACAGTATTTAGCAACAACAAATATAATTCATATAAATGGTATCTTTGTTATGAGTGCATTTTTAAGCATTTTCTGGTATGGTGCTGTATATGATGTCCAGTCGGTTATGATTTATAGCAACCCTGTATAGTGTTTCCAAGAGCAGCTGGTGGGTTTGAACTGCTGACATTGTGGTCACCAGTCCACTGTTTATCTTACAGCGCCAAACCAGGGCTCATTTTCTGGTATATGGATATACAATTAATTTTTATATATTTATTTTTAAGAACTTGCTTTTATATAAAAGGTAGCACATGAGAGACTGACGAAGTAATTTTAACAAATAAATTTTTTTTGGGAAAATTTCTTTATTTCAGATTGGGATAGTCATTGCTACCCATTTACATAATCCTCAAAATTCAAGTTTACAACTGTCGATCACATGAGGTTCCTTATCCATATACACGTTAGTTGGAAAAAACAATTCTGTACAATATTTTAGGAGTCACATGATTTGTAAGTAGTAGAGAATTAGTGAAAGCAGAAGAACTTCCAATTCTCAAACACTAGAAGGCAGGCAAAAAAGGAATCGCTCCTGTTCAGTCATAAAAAAAAGCTAAAGGAATTTTATGATGAGATAAATACTTTAAATTAGTATTGGCCATATAAAACTGCCATCCAGGTTTCTACTTATTTCTAGAACACTGGTATCCATTTATTTGATATTTAAGTAGCTTCATTGTTTTGAACAGTGCCTGGGGTACTTAAGAGTTCTTTATTAGTTTATCGTTTCTTCTTTTAGAAGGTTTAGTGGGACTGTGCGATGCTGGAACAATAATCCAAAATGTCCTGAATTGTGAATTCCATTGTCACACCAGACCCTGGATAACAGCGAGCTATCAAGCCTTCAAAGTGCTTGTATTGGCGTATAAATTCATCTTGCATGGAGTGCCATACCACCTAAGAGAAAAAAAGAAGTCATCAAACTATGAAGAGAAACAATACATAATGAAGCATATGGAAATAATGCTAAGACATAGTCTAAGGCGTTGTGGGTTAACACGCCAGACTGCAAAGCCGTTTGAACTGCAAGGTCGGTGGTTCAAGCTTACCAGCTAGCTGCTCCTTGGAAACCCTATCCTGGGTTGCTAGGGGTCGGAGCTGACACAACAGCATTTAACAACAACAAAATGATTAAGAACATTTCATTCTGGAGTCAGAATCCTAACTCCACTTGTAAGATTTGTGACATCAAGATAATCATCACTGACTGCTCTGTCTCAAGTTCCTTATCTATAAATTGGGGTAATAATACCTCCTTTATAAGGTTCTTGTGAGGATTGAATGAGTGAACGTATGAGGGTAAGTAAAAAAGTATTGCTACTAGGGTTCCAGTTACACATACACGGGTTACAAACCAAATGTGTTCAAACACGTCTCTGTGATCAGTGGATGGATGGGTGCAGGCATGTTCTCTTGGCTAGAGGGTTTTCAAAAAAAAAAAGGCCAATCAAAACAGTAGTTTTTGAGTGGATCTGTTAGGCTACTAAAATCCAAGGCAGAGAGGTCAGCTGAGAAGGTTATGATGACTTGGTTGTGGAATTTCCTCAAAAGACAAAGGACAATCATAAGGGATTATTATGAAGAAGTTGAAAGAAAACTGGAAACTCCATTTTCCAGTGTGAAAAAGGTCAGGAAAAGTTATGCTGAGGGCACTATTTACAACAGCAAAAACATGGAGACAGCCAAAGTGCCCATCAACTGAAGAATGGATAAACAATCTGTGGTACATACATACAATGGAATATTACGCTACCTTGAAGAACAATAAGGAAGCTGTAAGCTATCACATAACATGGATGAACCCTAAGGACGTTATACTGAGTGAAATTAGTCACAAAAGGAGAAATACTGCATAGGACAATTATTGTAAAAAACTAAGAAAAAGAAACCATACTAAAGCGGGGGTGGGCGGTAGGGAGAATTCTTTGCTGGTTACAGTGGTGGGGAGGTGGGAGGGTGGGGTGAGGGGAGGGAGGGGAAGATGGAGCATAGGGTAGGGAATAGACACAGAATAGTTTGGGTGCTGGGGAGGGGAAAGGAAGAACAAGGCTGATGGGAAAACAATTAGACAGGTTTGCATGGGCTAAGCTGGACAGAGGTAAATAACGATGTATACATAATCTTGGAACAACAGGGTTCTGGAATACAGGGATTGTGACATGGTTGGAATGGGCAAAAGCGGGGAAATAATGTTAAGATGCTTGCTGTCTTTTGAAAAAAAAAAAAAAAAAGCAAATTGATAAAGGCAACTAGTACTATCCTTAGGATCAACTGTTTAAACCAAGACAGTCCCGGCAGTGCTTTGATCTGTGCTTTAGGGAGTAGAAATGGCCGCCTCTCTGGGCTACTGACTGGAAGTAGAGTGAATTTGGATGCAAAAATTAGCAAAAGAGAAGTGGAAGAGTCTTCACCTGTGAGCACTAGCTGCATTTTCAGAGTTTCTTGTTCACTCCTCCCTGCAACGCTTTTCGTAGACTTTTTTTTTTTTTTTAAAGGGAAATCACAGCATAGCCCTATAGAGACTGAACTATGTGCATCATTTCATGTTGTCTTCTCCTTTATACCTGGTATCCCTAAAATAGCTTGATTATGGATTGGCTAGCTTAACTATAAAAATTTTCTTTATTACTGTTTATATTGAGTAAAAAAAAAGGGAGATAGTAAGATAAATGTAACCTTTTGTGGCTATAACTGATCCAAAAATAAAGGTTATTTAACTTCTAAAAAAAAAAAATGTAGAAAGCATAAAATATTCCCTCATCAAATAGTTTAACACCCAAAAGATTCAATTCATCATCTATAATCAAGTGCCAAAAGTCCTGGTAAACTTCCTTTTAAAGTAACACTGTGCAAAAATAAATAACACTTTGTACTGTTAAAAAAAAAAAAAAAGTTATGCTGAGGAAGTTTTTCCATCATGACAATGCACTGGCCCATTCTTTGAGGGAAGCAGGGGTTGTCCAAAGAGAATTTTGTTGGGAAACCTTATTCCATCACCCTCTAGCCCTGACCTTGCCCCTTCAGACTTCTTTTTGTTCTCCAAGCTCAAAGAACATTTCAAAAGAACACAAATGAAGTCTCTCCAGGGTGGCCAAACTGCATTTCGATGTGGTGTAAATTGCAGGGCACAGAATTCTTTGGGGAAGGGTTACAGAAACAGAAACACCACTTTCAGAAGTATGGTTGGTGGTGGTTATGTGCTGTGGAGTTGGTTCCGACTCACAGCGTTCCTGTACAGGGTTTCCGAGGCTATAAATCTTTACGGGAGCAGAAAGCCTCATCTTTCTCCTGTGGAACAGCTGGCAGTTTCGAACTGCTGACCCTGTGGTTCACAGCCCAATTCCTAACCACTATGCTAGCAGAGATCCTTTTCAGAAGTATACAGACCTAGATACAGGCCTAGATGAAGGATATTGAGGAAAAAGGAGCTTCACATTTTGATATTTGTAATCAATAAGGATTTTTACAATTTGATAACAATACTTGTTGACTTATTCTTATGTAGACAACTATCAAGACAAAAAGAAGTCCAGGTGGCACATATGGTTAAGTGCTTGACTTCTAACTGAATCGTTGGTGGTTAAAACACGCAATCAGCTCTGATAGACAACAGATCTAGCGATCCGCTCCTATAAAGATTACAGCCTAGGAAATGCTAGAGGCAGTTCTACTCTGTCATGTAAAGTTGCTATGTCAGAATCAATAAAACAACACCACCAAGACAACATGATACACATACTTCATTAAAAGGTGCGCTGGGCTGCTAACCACAAGGTCAGCAGTTTGAATCTACCAATTGCTCGGTGGGAGAAAGATGCGACTTTAAAAGATTTTGTAAAGATTTACAGCCTTGTAAACCCTAAACCCTATACTGGGTTGCTATGAGTTGGATCCAACTTGATGGCACAGCGCCATCACTAATCATTTAATAACAGTTACTATATTTCTGACAGAGAACTTCCAGAGGTTCAAGCTGGATTCAGAAGAGGCCGTGGAACGAGAGATATCATTGCAGATGTCCGATGGATCTTGGCTGAAAGCAGAGAATATCAGAAGGATGTTTACCTGTGCTTTATTGACTATGCGAAGGCTTTCGATTGTGTGGATCATGACA